ATAGGAATCGTGATGAACAAACAGCCCATCCGGCTTAGAAGAAGCATAACAAAGCTTCTAAATTTTCCGTTTCTGCCTACCCCTTCACATTTGATTTAGTGCTCGTTAGAAAGTCATTAAATTTATGGGTCGGATGGTGGAGAATCCTTTTGGCAATGGAAACAGTGGCTTTGCTTACACTGTCGCAATTTCTTGATCACACAGGAGTACTGCCTTGGCAAAACCTCTCAACCAAAATCCTAGGGCATCATAGTCGTAGACCGACGGTGCTGACGGGACACAGGTACCGTAAACGCTACAACATGAGTTCCAAAACCGTAAACGACGTCAAATGGGTGCACTTGACTGGTGCAATATCGAACTAAAAAGATTCGTTCAGCACCTTCAACAAAACATGTTGAACATCGTCTGACTAGGTCACGCAGACAGTGAGATGCGTTCCAAGCTAGGACTTGTTTTTCTCCCAGACGGAACCACCAACCACGCAGGGGCCGATGCCACGTTTGAAACTGGTACTAGTGCAACACTTTTTGGCATTCAAGCTCAGTCTATTCAACTCTGACTAGCTCTCTACCATCTTTACTTAAAAAGTCTGCTCTGTCAGCTAATAGTGGTACCACTGCAGTGTTGCAGGCGCACTTCAGGCAGATGACTCGATTGATTTCAGGGCAGCTGAAAAAAGTACGAACGATTTAACAATTGAAAGAGGTCTAACAACGTACGGAACATATGAAGGAAGAACGCCTTATGGTAAGTACTCTTTCTTTACCCAACTGTTGCACAACCTGTTAACCATTACAGCCGTTTTGAACTGAAGTGGAATAAATCGGGAACGCCAAGGTGAGGAGACAAATGGCAGAAATATCCTCTAAAAGAATCGTTTGTTAGTTCTACTCAAAGTTCACGGCTTCAATCAGATCGACACTGTATATTGCATTTCAGCATCAGCGTAACTACAAGCGAAAATTCAACAAACAGTAAGACTAGCGGTTTGTTGGTCTAACATAGCCAAGTTGCTACACGTCAAACGCTTGGCATAGAATTCAAAACTATCCCTGCATAAAGATGAAAATTTGTTGCAGATATTCTGCAATACTTCCCCCTGCAGGGTCGATACCCTTCAGATTATTGGCAACCGCAGCACAATCACGGCCATTATGCCATTTTCAATCCAAAAACTTTAGAACTTAAAACATGTTAGTCCGTAAGGACAGGCTTAATCATGGTAAAGGGAAGCCGCATCATCAATGAACGAGGCATTATTTATAGTTCAACAAAAGCAACATTTTTTCTCTGAATGTTTCTTTATGATCATTTTCATTTACTCCCACAAGGGCATTCAACGATGGTCGGTAAATCTGCTCTGCATTACCGACTTGACCGCAACAAACTACAGATCAACTTTGAGTGACATAAATTCTAATTCAGCATTTTGAGAAATTTCAATGGCCAAATCTTCCTATTTAAATCCAGATCGCATTCTCAATCCTGATCATTTTAACATCAACCCTGAAAACATTTATCTTAAAGCTTGGTGAGTCACAAGGATAAAGACCAAGGCCTGTATGAAAAATAAAAATGTTTTGCCAAATAGCTGTTCATGGTAACGCATGAAAAAATAATTTGTCTCTGTTCACTGATGAAGGCCAAATCCATAATACAAAAAATTTGGGTAACACCGGTCTACTAATTAAACTGTCGTACTTATGAAAATCATTGAAATGAGACAGCTAAATAATTAACGCTAAGTCTAAAACAATTTCAGGACATCACACTTTTTAATTTTCTGCTATAATTTTGGAATGAGTCAACTTATATTCAAGCATAAAAAGGAGCAAAGTATAAAGTAAAATACTTCAAGTCAGGTAAATGCTAGGACGGATAAAAAATGAAGAATGGAAGCAAAAACTTTATTAAATCATTAACAAGTTGAATTCTACAACAAGGCTATAAGCGCGGCAACACAGATCAATCACTGCGCAGTCAATGCCTATGTGAAACAAAAGTATATCTGTGAAACAAAAGGATCATCGATTTGATGTTAAAAGCGTGGCTTTCATCTGTTGCAATAGCAAGAAAGCAGCGGCGTATTTAGCTTCGTCTTCGGTTTTGCCTTTGCCTATGGCGCTCATCTCCGGTGACGTCGAAATGACTACGAGACTCTGAAAATACCCTAAAAGACAAACAATAAGCAATGTATAACAGAAAAACAAAGAAAGCATGCACGTACTGACACCTTGTTCCTCGAGTTCAGAAAGCCAGTTGAACTTGATTTCGTATTCTTCATCGCTAGCGATCAAATCCAACAACGTCACGTGATGATAAGATGGTACCTCGTGGTCGAAATCCATACACTGCAATTCCTTGAAGCCAACCTTTTCACCATCAACCGCTATTTTCGGCACCAAGTAGCTCTCCGGGGTTTCTTTCGTATCAGTCGGAAGCGCGGCCGCTGCGGCATTGCAATTAAGGGAATCAGACTCTGGTGCCTAAAGCAAGGTATGTTCATGAGATAAAGAAATTCAGCTCACTGTCCTTATCATAATCGTATGACCATAAAGGAACGTAGGCTGGTTATAACAACTGTTTTTAAGAGAGTAAACGTTCGTTTCTTTGTT